TAGCAGAAGCGATGTGTGACATGGAGCCTTTCCGCTGTGATCACAAAATACAGTGAATACTGCTGCCGAGTACCATCCAATGTAAAGGCAGGGATCTTCAATACGGGAAGTGGCACGTCGAACCTTAGTAACAGTGTGTGACAAGTTTTAACTTGTTCGGTGCAGTCAGTCAGGTGTGAGCTACGGTTGAGAGAATATGTATTTTAAAGTGTGCCGTAAATCATCCTCCATCATGACAACGCTCTGTGTCACACATCGCTTCTGGTATACAGCAATTTCTGCTAAATAAAAACATTACGGTGTGTCCTCATCCACCTTATTCACCGGACCTGGCACCGTGTGACTCCTGGCTCTTCCCCAAAGTCAAAATGACCATGAAAGGTAAACGTTTTGAATCGATTCAGGACATCAAGGCAGCCACGACAGCACAACTAAAGACACTCACCAAAGAGGACTTCCAGAACTGCTTCAGAAAGTGGCAAGAACGATGGGATAAGTGTGTTTGAAGCAAGGGGGAATATTTTGAGGGGGATTAATGGCAATGTGTCTTTTACTTTAATATTTTTTTAAATTTAAACATTTACTGTATTTGATCGCACCTTGTAAGTGGAGACCAGGATTAGAACCCACAGCCCAAGCTCTTAACCACTATGGGTACTGCCTGTCAGACTCACCCACCACCAGAGATTCTGTTCCACAGTGGCACTCAGGGCCCTGGTTTGTTTACAAGCCCCCCCACTGGGCTTTGGTGGGGCCCCCACCTTGAGAAATCTACCAGCAGGGGCTCCCCTGCACTCCTCCCTGTGTCCCTAGTGCCAGGTAGATCTGCTAGGGCTGTGGGAGCCACAGCAGGTTACAGGTGTGGGGCTCGCACCACCAGATGCTGGGAGGTCTGCTGGCTGGTGGGTGAGGAGGGGTGGGTGGGGGCCGGCCAGGCATTCCTGACAGCGGGTGGCACACAGGCCCTTCCCCTCGGCCTCACCCCGTGGTCTCCATGGGCCCGAGGGGACAGATGGCCATTGCCCAGGCCTGGGCCGTGGCTGTCATCCGGCCAGATGAGTTATGAGCAGGCCAAAGGGGAGGCAGCTGGGGGGGGGGGGGGGCCAGAGACACGTGAAGGCAAATCATACCCCGCTGGCCTAACATCTGTCCAGGAGACAGGCACATCATGGCTGTGGCTAGGGGACAGATGGCCATTGCCCAGGCCTGGGCCGTGGCTGTCATCCGGCCAGATGAGTTATGAGCAGGCCAAAGGGGAGGCAGCTGGGGGGGGGGCCAGAGAACAATTGCATCAAGACCCCAGAACAATGGGGGACACGTGCCACAGGGGCAACAGTCGTTTGTCACACAATGGGCCGCCAGGGGGACAGCAGCCGGGCCAACTGCTGCTGCTGACACAGGCCGGCGGAGTTTTCAAATCATTTCCAGACCCTGTTTTCTTATAAGGCAGCCAATCACCAGGGCCATCGGATGGTCACCTGATGCCAGCTTGGTGGGCTGAAGGCCCAGGCCCTGCGACAACTGAGCAGCAGTGGCCATGGCAACGCTAATTGTGGCCCTAAAACACAAGGAAAGAGAGAGGGAGAGATGGGAAGGAAGGGGGATGAGAGACAGGGAGAGAGAGAACGCCAGACCAAGGTGGCCCCCCAGATGGCAGAAGGAGGGGGGAGGCTAATGCCCTCTGGGGGTCCACGGTCGTGTGCAGGAGAAAACCAGGGGCTGCATTCCTTCCCTCTCTCCCTCTCCCTCTCCCCAGCTCTAGGAGGCCCTGAAAAACCTATTTTTGAAACTTGGAGCTTAGAATTTGGACCATGGGCCCCTGGCCTGCAGGATGGCAGGCATGGTGGAGTCTGGTGTGGGCTCCTGGCCAGTGTACAGCCACATTATAACACGGACAAGGTGCTGTTGTGGGGCCCAGGGCTCTCGCAAATCGGGGTACCTGCCTGGCATCCTCAGTGGGCAGCCTTTTTCCTTCCATGGAAAGTGATGTTTTTGCTCATGAATCTGTCGAGGGGTGGTGGGCATGGATCCTAACGGAAGCCTCCAGGGGCGGCCCGAGGTCATGGTGAAGGGCCTGGTGGGCTTCAGGCCACGCGGCCTGGGCTCCATCCCCACCGCTTCCTGTTTCGTGTGGCCTTGGACAAGTGACTCAGTGCTCTGAACCTCAGCTTTCCCGTCTATAAAAGCGGGATGTGAGCATACCTTACCTCTCAGGGTTGCTCTGGGGATTGAATGCCTGTTGAGCACCAAGCCCAGTGCCTCTGTTTCCCATCTGTAAAATGGGAATAGTAAGACCTGCCTTATGGATTAACGGGGGGTGTTAAATGCACTAATATCTCTGAAGGATTTGACATGGTATCTGGCTCATAGTAAGTGCTCAACAAACATTAGTGTTTATTATTTTGGGGTAGGGGCTAAGTAACGTGTTAAGAGTACATGAAGGAATGATTTGAGATGTGCGATCTGGCTGCCAAAGGGAGGGAATCCTGGGACCCGGTTCCCACACCCAGTGCTGGGGGTGGACAGGCCAAAGGGCGAGTGGCTTGGGGAGGTAAGGGAGCCCCCCAGGGAGCTGGCCTGAGCTCCCCACCCCTCCCGAGCTCCTGCCCCTTCCTGCAGGCTCCTGGCTGCCACCAGCGATGATGACCTTCCTGGGGACCTGCAGTCGCTGTCATGGCTTACGGCTGTGGACGTGCCGCGGCTGCAGCAGATGGCAAGCGGCCGCGTGGACCTGGGCGGTCCCACTGCTCCACACGCACACCCAGGTAGGCTCAGGGGCAAGGTGGGGCGGCCTGAGGGTGGTACAGGGGAGGGGCAACACCCAGCACTGCCACCTACCTGCAGTGTGGTCGTGGCCAGGTCACTCTCTCTCTGTCTCTCTCTGTGCCTCTATTTCTGCATCTGTGACATGTGACTTATTCTATCTTCTTCAGAGGGATGTGGTTCATTCATTTGCTCACCACTCTGTACCAGGCCCCTTGTGAGCTCAGGTCTCAGTGAAGAATAGACAGACCCACCCCCTACCCTGGTACATCTTGAACATCTAGAGCAGTTGGCAAACTGGCTCACGGGCCAAGTGCAGCCTTCAGCCTTCTTCTGTACAGCCTTTGTGTTAAGAATGACTTTTACATTTTTCTGGAGTTGTAAAAAAACAAAGAAGACAAAAACCATATGGCTGGCTAATTCTGAAATATTTGCTATCTGACCCTTTAAGAAGTTTACTGACGCCCGATCAAGAGATTCAAAATGATGATCCACGGAAAGTGCCGAGCACAGGGCCCGGAACACAGTAGGTACATAATGGCAGCTAGTTGCAGTTATAGTAAGTGGATTAAATGCCTAGAGACACAGAAAGTGGTGAAGAAAAACAATCAACAGAAGCAATCATTGCAGTACATTAAAAGTATCAATAGTTGAAAAATCAGCATCTAGGAGTGTTTTTCTTTATTTTAAAATAAATTTTACATTTTTTGGGGGGGGGAGGGGGGATGCTGTGTTTTTCCAGGACCCATCAGCTCCAGGTCAAGTAGTTGTTTCAATCTAGTTGTGGAGGGTGCAACTCAGTGACCCATGTGGGGATCGAACCAGCAACCTTGGTGTTATGAGCACCGCGCTCTAACCAACTGAGCTAAGTGGCCACCCTAGGAGTGTTTCTTTCATTGGACTAATTATTCTTGGCCAAAGCATCCATAATAGAGGTCAGCAAACTTTTTCTGGAAAGGGCCAAGTAATAAATATTTCAGAGTCTGTAGGCCATGTGGTCTCCGTGGAAACTATTCACCTTTGCCACTGCAGTACAACACCAGCCATAGATAATATGTAAATGAATGGGAATGGTTGTGTGCCAATAAAACTTTATTTATAAAAAACATGCTGTGGGTTGCATTTGGCCTGCTGGCCATAGTTTGTCAACCCCTGGTATAGAACCCCAAGGAGACAGCTGTGTGACCTTGGGCAGGTGCCTTTCCCTCTGACCTGTTTCCTCATCTGTAATGAAAGGATAACAGAACTGTCCACATGGGGGTATTGTGAGGATTCAATGCAGAAAGTATCTTGCACACAGTAGGTGTTCAATAAGTGGTAACTGTAAAATAAGGCAGCCCCTTCCTTCACGGTGTCGCCACACACCTCCTGCGTGTCTGACACTATGCAAGGTGTTTGAATCACTGAGTCATATAAGATGTGGTACCAATTCTCAGGGAGCTGAGGGTCTGATCAAAGAGAGATAGACAAGGCAGACAGACCAAGGCACAGAGGATGAGCCCAGGTGGCAGTCAGGACTCAGAGGAGAGCTGAGGGACCCAGTAGGCTTCCTGGAAGAGATGGCCCCAGGTCAGATTCATCTTGCAGGTCAGCTTTGCTTAATTGGGGGTGGCTTCCTAAAATCAGGCTGGTGCAGTATGAATCTGTGATAGATTAGCAATGTAACAGTACATTAACAGTACAGACCCAGCACAGGATTGGTGTGTGTGTGTGTGTGTGTGTGTGTGTGTGTGTGTGTGTGTGTCTGCTATTCCTGAGCTAATCCTTGGCAGAGGAGCAGGGCTTGACAAAGGAGAGAGGAGGCGCAAAGACATTTGGACCTAAACCTAGAGACACCGCGGAACCAAGACATGCTTTTGAGGAGGAGAGATGAGCAATGAATTGATGTTTTAGCTTCATGAAGGACGGGAACCAAAGTATTCATGACATCATCATTATCATGATCATTATTAGTTACTCATATTGACTGAGATATTATCATGTGCCCAGCAACGTGCTTTATAGACATTTTCTCATTTAACCCTTATGGCAACTTTATAGGTAGGTAATGTCAGTAGCCCCATTATGCAGATGAGGAAACTGGGCTGGTTTAAGGTTATCTAGCTGGTAGGAACCCACTCTTCATAACTACACCCCAGGGAAGTGATTCTCCAAGCACTTACCACGGGCCTGGCCCCACCAGTGGTGTGTGACTCCATTCTCTGGAAGCACCCAGGGACTGGGCTGTCCCTGCCCTTGGCCACAGTCCTTCCAGCTCACCTCTGTGCTTCCTCTTACAGGTGCCTTGGCTGGGGTGGCTAACCTGCATGTGGGAGCCACCTCAGGTCCCCTGCTCCATGGCCCGGCTGGCATGGCCCCCCCAGGCGTGCTGGGCCTGGGCCCCATGGCCAACCACAGAGCCAGCGTAAGTACCGCCACACGGGTTGCGGAGCAAGGCGGGTGTCCTACAGGGCTGGGGTCTCCCCACCCCACCCTGACCCTCTGTCTCTTCCTCTCCCAGCCCCAGCAGATGAACCAGTTCCCTGTGGGGGGCCAGCCCTCATCCAGCCTGCAGGACCCACCACAGCTATACTCTCCAGCTTCCCAGCCACAGTTCCAACTCCCCCCAGGCACCCAGCAGGTACTGGGGGCTTGGAGGGGCCCTGGACTCAGAGGCAGATACCCCTGGCTTGGGCTGGCCAACGACCTCACTTTGCCTCAGTTAACTCACCTGGAACATGGGGATAACATTCTCCACCATACCCATGTCATGGGGTCGTTCATTCAGTTCCCCCAAAAAAACCTGCAGTGGGTAAAGACAAGATTGCCTCCTGGGGTTGTAAACCCCACACCTCCTCTCACTTTTCGAGACTGGGGTGGGTGGGGGTGGGGTTATTGTGAGTGACTTATGCTCTCTCTCACCTTCTCTCTCTCTGCCACCCATACTCTGTCCCTGCCTGTGGGAAGTGCCCTCCTGTGGGCCTGTATGGCTCCCCGTTCGGGGTACGACCTCCCTACCCCCAGCCCCACATGGCTGTGCATTCATCTCAGGAACTGCACCCCAAACACTACCCCAAGCCCATCTACTCATACAGGTGAGGTCCAGTGTGGGCTGGGGCTATGGGCGGGCTCGAGGAAGAGAGGGGTGAGGTCTGCCTTAAGGACATCCCGGGCAGCTAGGTGTGGTAGCCCAGATTTCCAAGGGGGAAGTTTTGGGACATGGGGAACCCTCAGGTGGGATCTGCTGTCAGGAAGGACCATCCTGTGGTCAGTCAACCCCCAGGATTGAGAACCCACTACAGACATGAGCCCAGGGCTTCACTCTGTCACTCGCAAGCTGTGTGGCCTCGGGGAAGTGGCTTGGCCTCTCTGAGCCTCAGTTCCCTCTGATGTCTAAAGTCATGAAAATGATAGTATTGTGTGCCTCATAAGATTTGGGGGAGTGTGTGTGTGGGGGGGAGTAAGCAGCCTAGTTAAAGTCTAAAGGGCCATAGATATTAATTACGGGGGAGGGATAAAGAGAAGAAAAGATGAGTTTTCTCAAATCTGTACCAATGGCTGAGCTCAGGGTCAAGGAGAAGACAGAAGGGAGTAGGAAAAACATAGGGCCATAGAAAGGTATCGAGAGCTAACACAGTGTGAGTATGGAGGGGCTGGTACTGGTGGGGTCAAGCAGGGCAGGCCCCCCTGGCACAGGGGACCCTGGCTGTCAGCCTGAGATGCCTCCACACCTGGCCCGCCCCACGTTTTGCCTCCAGCTGTTTGATCGCCATGGCCCTGAAGAACAGCAAAACAGGCAGCCTGCCTGTGAGTGAGATCTACAGCTTCATGAAGGAGCACTTCCCCTACTTCAAGGTGAGACGCCGCAGCCCAGGGTAGGGGTGCTGAAGCTGCTCTGACCTCTCCCTGGCACTGCCAGAACCCAGGCCAAACGGAGCCACCCTGTTAGGCCCCCAGTTATGTCTGTAGACCTGATAGTAAGGATGCTTGCACATGTACACTTACAGAGACATGGGCAAAAATATCCAGACAGACAAGGGAGCATTTGAGCTGGGCTCTGACGGACGAAGAGGAGTTCACTATGCATCCCAGGGGGCAAAGAGTAGAGGGGTCAACCTAGTTATTCAACACAGACTCAGTAATACATAATGATACAAAACACAGATCTGGCAGGAGCCTTCACCTCTCTGAGCCTTAGTTTCTTCATCTGCAAGATGGGGAGAATAATACCCAGCTGGCAAGGTCAGTGAGGATTCTGCATGTAAAGGGCCTGGCAGCTCTTGGCACATGGTTGGCCATTAGTAATGTTATCCTTGTTGACATCAAAGCAAAAAAAAGAAACAGGAGGTCAGATGGTACCAAGCTGTGGGGTCCCTGGCCTAGAGAGTGTCCTTAGCAGAAATATTGTAGCATCATGGTGTGTGTGTATGTGTATGTGTGTGTGTGAGAGAGAGAGAGAGAGAGAGAGAGAAAGAGAGAGAGAGAGAGAGAGAGAGGGAGAGAGGGAGAGAGGAGAGGGGTGGAGGAGAATAGGGTAGGGTATGAGGTGCATTACAGTATCTGATTATCCAAAAATAAAATAAGAGCATTAAAAATGATTGGCATTTAATACACTTGACCAGTTATCCATGTATTAGCATCATCTCACTTGCTTGCTTCCTGAATGGGATAGAAAGATGGGCCTTGTTTGTTCAGTCCCGTGTAGTACCCAATGACGAGCTGAATCGCAGCTGTCTCTCGAATCAGGGCCTAGGCCCCCCAGTTTCCCACAGCCCCCACACTCTCTCTTCCCACCTCAGGACCGAGTGTTGAGACACTGTCATTTTACCCCTGCCACCGCTGTGCCCTGCCCCTCTAGGCCTGAGTTTGAGATCCCCCCTGGAAAGGAAGGGTTTATAGGGAGCTCTTTGGAGGGGTCTCCTGCGTGCCCATCTCTCCCCATAGACGGCGCCCGATGGCTGGAAGAACTCCGTACGGCACAACCTGTCCCTGAACAAGTGCTTTGAGAAGGTGGAGAACAAGATGAGTGGGTCCTCGCGCAAGGGCTGCCTGTGGGCCCTGAACCTGGCCCGCATTGACAAGATGGAGGAGGAGATGCATAAGTGGAAGAGGAAGGACCTAGCCGCCATCCACCGGAGCATGGCCAACCCCGGTGAGCCCTGGACTCCCCTCGCCCCCGTGCTCACCCCCACACCTCATACATCACCCCTCAGCCCCCTTCCCCAGCTCTGCCCGCATCCTGCCCCGCCAGCACCATGTCCTAACCAGCACGGTGGGAATACGGGCGCCCAGTGAACTTCCCGCCTGTGAAATATACCTCCCTTCCCCACCCCTACCCAGGGGCTGGTCAACTGAAGGGCCTGGACAGAAACATACGAAAAACTGTTGAATTTCACTAAGCCATCCCTAGTTTCTTACACAGAAATACTGAACTAAACAACCATGGGAGAAAAATGCTTTCTTACCTTTCCTACCACATTGGCACAGTTTTGAAAAAATAATAAAACAATAATACCCAGTGTGGGCTAGCATGAGGAGAAATAGACACCTTCCTATACAATTGGTGGGAATGTAAGTTGTTCAGTTTTTCCAAGGCAAGGTAATATATCAAAACCTTGATACTGTACCATCTATTGGTTCAGTTATTTTACTTTTGGCAATTTATGCTGAGGAAATCAAAGATGTGAGCAAAAAAATTATGTTCAAAGCTGGCCATCACAGAATTATTTCTAATAGTAAAAAATTGAAGGGCCGGCCGAGTGGCTCAGTTGGTTAAGAGCTCGCTCAAGAGTTTGAGCTCTGAGCAACAGCGGTTCGAGTCCCGGCCCAAGCTGAGCAGCCGCTGAGCTGCCAACAGGTGGCAGGATGGCTCAGCTTAAAAAAAATAAAATTGAAAGCAAACTAGGTATCCTGCAATAGGGGATTAGTTACATGGATATAATGTCATACAATGCAAGTATTAGAGATAAAGATATTTTTTGGAATATAAAGAAATGCTCACAATAAAAGTGGCAGGTTATGAATCAATACACCGTATGATCACATTTTAAAAAGCATGTGTATCCACACCCATTTCTATATATGTGTATGTATATGTGTATATGTGTATATACATGCACATATATACATATACACATATATCCATGCCCATTTTTATATGTGTGTATATATAAACACATGTATATATCTATATATGTATCTATATATCTATATTTTCTATATATATATATTTGTATATTGTGTATACATACACACATATCTATCTATCTATCTATCTATCTATCTGGAAAAAATTTACCAAAATCTTTACTGTGAATGGAGAGACCATTGATAATTTTTATATTCTTGACATGTTTCTGTGTTTCCCAAATCTTCTACCCTGTTTATGAATTACTTTTATTATTGGAAAAAAATTACATCTGCATTGTTTTTTTTGTTTTATTAAGAACTGTGAAGGGGAGGACATACAAGTGACATATGAGTGGAGAATGGGAAACGGGCGGCTAATTCCACAGCCTTAGGGACATGTGGCCTGGCCCTGTGGCTGTCATCCTGCTTGAGGTTTGGGTGTGAAGGCGGATGAGAGTACAGCTCTGAGATGAACAATTCAATATGGCAGGAAGAAGGACCCCAGCAGGGTCCTGAGGCCCTCAGCTGAGGGGGTACCATATGGTGCTCACCCCACAGAGAACTCTGGGGCCTGGCTTGAGACGATGCGCCTGTTCTGACATCTATGAGAATGTAGTGTGACATCTTGGGCAGGCCACTTGACCTTCTCCATTCTAAGTGTCCTTGTTTCTAAAATGGGTGTAACCCCAAGAGATCTTGGGACCCCAGTGGTCAAGTCTCAAAATTGTGTTACATTCAATGAGACACAAACTAAGAGAAATTTCAGTCTTGTTTATATCCAAGAGCATTAAGGAGGATCCGATTTTTAACCCACAACAATGCTTTCTAATTTCTCTTTAGCAGCAGGGAGTAGATAGGACCCCTTGCATGTTAATCAGTTGGGATTTGTAGCCCCCGCCTTCCCTCCCTCGTGCAGGGCTTTTATGAGGTTCAAGTGAAGTCCCAGAGTTACAGTCCTACCCTAGAAGGCACTGTCCCAAGGAGAGGAGCCAGTGTCATTATACGAGGGTCCACTCGTTCCTCAAAGTCCCTGCACAGTTTGTGATTTCAGTACGTTTCCACAACCACCTTGTGCAGAGTGTATGATGCCATCTGATAGATGAAGAGACTGAGGTTCAGAAAGTCCAAAAGGCTTGCCAAAGTCACACAGGTGGTAACGCTGGGACTTGAACCCAGGCCTGGGCTGGGCCTCCAGAACTGCAGGGTGACTTCTGAGTGACCTCTCCCACTTGCCTGCAGAGGAGCTGGACAAACTGATCTCAGACCGGCCAGAAAGCTGCCGACGCCCTGGCAAACCGGGGGAGCCTGAGGCCCCTGTGCTGACCCATGCCACCACGGTGGCCATGGCCCACGGCTGCCTAGCTGTTTCCCAGCTCCCACCCCAGCCACTGATGACCCTGTCCCTGCAGTCTGTGCCCCTACACCACCAGGTCCAGCCCCAGGCACATCTCGCTCCAGACTCTCCTGCCCCAGCCCAGACCCCACCCCTGCACGCCCTGCCAGACCTGAGTCCCAGCCCCCTCCCGCACCCCGCCATGGGAAGGGCTCCTGTGGACTTCATCAACATTAGCACCGACATGAACACCGAGGTGGACGCCCTGGACCCCAGCATTATGGACTTTGCTCTGCAGGGTGAGGCTGGAGGAATGGGGGGATGGGAACAGAGGGGGAGGGGAGAGTCTTGGGGGAGGGGACAGAAAGCCAGGAGGCCAAGGGAGAGGAGGGCTGTCTGCATTTACCCTACAGTTCATTTCTTCAACAAACTCTCCAACCGCCTAATGACAGCGAATTACGTCAAGCATTTAATGAACGCTCACTGTATAACAGGCCTCGTGCGAAGCATTTCACGGGCAGCAGGCCATCTCGCCCGCGAGGCCACTGCCATTTCATATCCCCATTCCACTGATGAGGAAACTGAGGCAAAGAGAAATGAAGTCACTGGCCTGAGGTCACACGGCTAGTAAGTGGCAGAGCCAGGACTTCAGCCCAGGTCTGTCTGATCCCCAAGCTTTCAATCAGTAACTGCTTCGAGTTGCACACGCCCACCTCATGCCAGGTCACGTGCTGACCCGCTGTCTGCCACATGGTCATCCTTGATACGTGGGGAATGAATGAATGAATGAACAAGGGAAGTTCAGGTTTCAGTGAAGGCTCATGATTCCTCCATTCACTAACACTGGCGCACCTACTACGTGCCCGCCAATAGTCAACAGCCTCTGCCCTCAAGGCATGTCTAGCGAGGGAAACTGGCAAGTTAGCAGATTAGTCAACAAGTTCGTAAGTTAGTTATAGTTGCGAAATGGGTATGTTTAAACCTCCCTCCTCTCCCCCTGGATTATCGTGTAGTTAAGCTGTGACGAAGAAAGGGAGATCATTGTTCTGTCCTCTGGCTTTGACCGTGATGGTACCACTTAATGAGGGCTAAGCGCTTTCCACACATCCCCCTGTTTAAGCCTTGGATGGGTTCTCTGATCACCTCTATTTAATTCCGAGGAGCCCACGGCTCTGAGACGGAAGCGACATCAGCGAGGATGCCCAGTGGGAAGAGGAAGGCCCGGAACTCTGGCTTCACCATGCTCTCATCCTGTAACATGTGACTTTAAATCCACACGGGACCTTGGCCTCGTCCCCAAGACAGGATGCGAACTCAGATGTTTGACATGAAGCCGGCTCACCCAAACGCTTTTGTCTTTGAAAGGGAACCTCTGGGAGGAGATGAAGGACGAGGGCTTCAGCCTGGACACGCTGGGGGCCTTCGGAGACTCCCCTCTTGGATGTGAGCTGGGGTCCTCAGGCCTGACCCCGGTCTCCGGCGGCAGCGACCAGTCCTTCCCGGACTTGCAGGTGACAGGTCTGTATACTGCATACCCGGACAGTGTGGCCGCGTCAGCCGCCACCTCCTCCTCTCAGTACCTGGGCGCCCCAGGGAACAAGCCCATAGCCCTGCTTTGAGCGGATGGCCTCGCCTGCCGCAAAACCTGGGCAGAGGGCTGACCGGGCCACGTGGTCCTGGAAGAAAGGCCCTTTGCTCTCCCACAGGCCTCTGAACCTCTGGTGGGGTCGCTGCTCACTGGCTAACAGGGAAGCAGTTCTCGGCACCCCCTGGCCCTCTCACACCTCCACAGGAAGCCTTTGGGGCCTCCCAGGTCAGAGGGACAGAGGAGAGTGGACAAGCGTCCTGGCCTCCCTTACTCCATGACGCTTCTTCGAGACCTGAGATGTGAGGCCTCCAGCCTGCTTCCCTGATGGACTGCCTCCACCTGCAACCCATTTGGGGACTCCTTGGGGCACCATGGAAACACACTGGTGGGAAAAGAGGCGCTTTAATTTATTCTTCTTGGATGAAACATCTGTCTCAGGCTCCAGCAGACAGGCCCTGAGGCCCGGAGTGGAGCTGGCAGACTAACTTCTCTTGGACTGAAACAAGCTGAACTCTGAAATGGGCAACTAACCCGCCGGCCTCCAGGCCCACTTCCCCTGTAGTCTGTTAGAATTTCATAGAACAGGTTCCTGGGCCACGCTGGGCACTGTGACCCCATGTACATTTATTTATATTTATTGGAGTCCATCCACACCACCCCTCTGAACCCAGCCCACATCTGGAATGAGACTCCCTAGTCCCTCCCTACATCCCGGCAATCCCAACGCCTAAATTATCCGTGAATCACGCCTCCTACTGCCTCTTAATCCCTCTGCAGCCTTGCGCTGCTTTTTAGAACAAACAAGCACTTTTGATACTATGAAACATCCTATTTTTAAAAATTAGAGACCAGATCTTTTTCTAACTGTTCAGGTGCGATTCACATCTCTCCCTATGGGCACCTAAGAGGGGAGGTGCCATAGTTTTGGGTTCCAGGGGCTTTCTAAGGACAAATCAGGATTCGAACGGGAGGAATATTGTGCTGGAATTTAAGACACCCTGATAGAAAGCAAGCAAACTCCGAACCACGTAAAGCTTGACCCAGGTAGCGAGTGGGGGCTGACCAACCTGCAGTGCAGAGTATTTGTTGGCACTTATGGCCGATTTCATTGCCCTGTGACCATTTTAATGTTTTTTTCTCTCGTTGCCAATTACTGACTTTCCAAGTGGCAGATTCTGCAGACAGTTGGGTTAGAGGAGAGCCAGGTGAGTGGGTTGGAGAAAGGAAAAGGCAAATAGGGGTCTTCCAGCCAAGTTGAGAACGAGAAACCCAGTAGTGGCTTGCACCACGGTCCTCTCTACACCAAGCCCTACAGCCAGGATTTTCCGATTCATCAACAGGTCAGCCAGCCACCTTGGAGGTTTGGTGTTAAGCCCTGTCTTGAAGGACCGTCTTTAAGTTTTTCCTAGTTCTGGGACTTTCTGCTGAGCATCATCGTCTTTAGACACAGCCCAGTGCTGCCTGTCTGACCAGCACTGCTCAGCTGCTTTGTGTGATGTGGCCCCCAATAAGTGAAGATGTTTGAGTCGTTGTTGAAATGAAATGAAAACCCCATGTTCGGGTGACACCGAGACTCTGTAAGCGTAGTGTTGAATTCCTGTCTTCTGTCAATAAAAGCTGAATGGCAGCTCTGTGACTCTGAGGGAGGGATGAAGGAGGGGAACGGACGACAGTGCCACTCGCTCAGCCCTCACAGGTCAGGCCCCATTGACAGATGGGGACACTGAGGCCCAGAGAGGCGACACCACCACAGCCACACTGAATCCAGGTCTCCTGATGCCAGGTTCCCATCACACCACAAGCTGGGAGGGGTTTGTCATTTTCGATAAAATTAGCATGGCTGTCATTCACCGGTCCCTCAGTGCCAGGTGCTTGACAGGCGAGATCTCAGGCAGGGATGTGAACTCCATTTACTGTTCAGAAAGTGGAGGCTCAGAGACATTGGGTAGGACTCAAGGTCAGCTGAAGAGACAGGACTGAGTCCATTGTGCCAGACCCCCGAGCTGGAGTTCAGCGTGCTTCTTGGAGCTGCCTCTTTGGTACATACCTGAGGTCAAAGAATGCGACAGGTAGAAGGAGTTGCACCCGCTACCAGGCCCCATGCTAGTCGCTGCTGTGAATTAGCTCATTCAATCCTCATTACAACCCTAACGGGCCTAACAGGTGTGTCTTATTTGTACACCCATTTTTGCAGATGAAGAAACTTGAGGCTTGGAGGAATTAAGCAGGTGACTTGCCACCCAAGGTAACAGCAAAAGGGTGTATAAATTAAGAGTCTGTCTGACTCTTGAGCCCCACCCAGGAAGTGGCTTGCAGCCTCACTGGGGCAGTCAGGTTCACATATTTGCAACGACTACCAAGTAAGGAACGGTATGGGATGATGGGGCTGTGGGTATTATCGGGAAGTCCTGAATGGGCCCCACCTCAGAGGAGACCAGGCAGGTGCCTGCAGCAGCCCTGGGTGGCCTTTCTCTCCCCAGTACCCACTCCTCAGTTTGGCTCCAAAGTGGCCCTGTGACACAAGCCTGGCTAAAGAGGGCATTACAGCTCCCAGCTTCCCCCAGTGATTGGCTGGGTTTGGAGGCAAGTGACTCAGGCCATGTTGGTCACAGCCAATGAGCATCACCCCAGGGACTTTGCAGAAGCAACGGCACAGAGGTGGATGGAGGGTGAAGCCTGAGCAACTGGGTCACCATGTGCAGAGGGCTGGGGACCCCAATTTGAATGACATCCATTCCTTACACAGGCAATTGGGACCAGGGATGCCTAGAGTCAAGGTGAAAATGCCAAAATCACAGAGTCACAAGCTCTAGGCAGAGTCCTGGCGACAGCCAGGGCCCCACCCGCCCAGGGGCCCTGCTGACGCCGGAAGAAAGCATAAGGGAAGGAGGTACGAGGAACGAGGATTCTGAGATTCTCTGGGGTTGGAAAACTAACCGAAGACACCGCTTGAGCACCTGCCATGAGCCGCAATGAATTAAACACTCATCAGACAGCAACTCCCTGAAACAGTGTGACAACCCACACAATGGGTCGGTCCCATGTCCCAGAGGAGAAAATTGAGGCTCAGAAATGGTGTTGCGGCTTTTCTTTCCTCTCCATGAGAAACCATCCACATTCTAACAAAAATAATAACACTGGCTAATGTGTACAGGGGACCTCAGGCTACACACTCTGCTTATCTCATTGATTCTGCCTACTCCCCGTGAAGTAAAGCTGTTATTATCCCCTGTGCTAGGCAGAAAGAATGCGCCCCCAGTGGTGGCCACGTCCTAATCCCCAGAACCTGTGACTATGTTACATAAGGGGGAATTAAGGCAGCAGGTGAAATTAAGTTTGTTAATCAGCTGCCCTTAAGATAGGGAGACTAGTTTGGATTATTCAGGTGGGTCCAATGTAACCACAGGATCCTTAGACGTAAAAGAGGGGCAGGAGGGTCAGTGTCAGCTCTAAGGATAGAACGACGCCTCTAGAAGCTGGAAAAAGCGCACGGGCAGGGGGGGGGGGCAGGGGGAGGAAGGATTTTCCCTTAGAGCCTCCACAGCCTGCCAGCACGCTGATATTGACCCATTGAGACCCATTTCAGACTTCCGACCTCCAGAGCTACAGAAAAATAAGTGTGGGCTGTTTTCAAGCCACTATGTGTGTGGTCATTGTGACGGCAGCCGTAAGAAACAAACATATCCCCGTTTTTACAGAAAAGGACACCGTTGTTTCTGTGCGAAGGGTGAAACGGATAACTATTGCATTGTTCTGTACACCTGAAACTAACAATAATAAAAAAAATAGTAAAATAAAAGGATGCTTGTCAATGAAAAAAAAAAAAAGGACACCGAGGCTCAGCGTGGCTGAGCAGCTTACCTGTGATTGGTGAGGGGCGGAGACGAGAATCCAGCGACACTCCACTCCCCCGCCTCCCCCCCCCCCCAATCAGTCTCTGCAGTCTCAGAAGGGGCTCAGCAGACACTGTCTGCTTGCTGGTTTAAAGAGGAACAAACCCTCTGAGGTCATGCAGCTGGGCTCTAACTCAGGTCTGCAGACCTGCCCGGCCCCTTCCACTGCACCATGCAGCCCAGCCTAGCGTTTGCTCCTGAACAGAGGGTTAGGGAAAGAGATAAGATATGGTCAGTAGAAGGTGACGGAGCACAGGTTGTGCCCATGCTGTTCCTCCTCTGGCTGCGGACACCAGATCTCCAAAGGAGTCCCTTTCCCCTGAGTCCAGGGGTAGCAGGATAAACACCAAACTGGCGGCTGAAATGGGGGCGACTTCATGGGTGGAAGGAAGGAAGGCCTGGCGACCCGGGCAGGAGCTGCTGGGTGGGCGAGGGGAGTGGGAGGCAGAGGAACCGGAAATTGAAAGGCTCGACAGTGGGGTCTGTATCTCCTGTCCACAATGTTGAAAGGATGCAAGTAAAAAGGTTCAGTGACTTCTGAGTGAAAATTATTTCTAGGCTCCACTCCTTAGGATGGATGCTCTTAAAAACAAACATTAAACAAGTGTTGGCGAGGATGTGGGGAATTCAGAACCCTGTGGACTTGCTGGTGGGAATGTAAAATGGTGCAGCTGCTATGGAAGACAGTAAGTGGTCCTCAAAATTAAACACAGGAATCATCGTATGGTCCAGCAATTCCACCTGTGGGTATCTACCCCAAAGAAGTGAAAACAGAGACTTGAACAGATGTTTGTACATCCACATTCCTAGCAGCATTATTCACAACAGCCAAAAGGTAGGAAGCCGCTCAAGAATCCATCGAGGGATGAATGGATAAACAAAATGTGGTCCATCCACACAACGGGACATCATCCAGCCTTGAAAAGGAAATTCTGACACCTGCTACAGCACGGAGGAACCTTATGCTGAGTGAAATAAACCAGTCACAAAAGGACAAATATTGTACGATTCCTTAGATGAGGTCCCTAGAATAGTCAAATTTATAGAGACAGAAAGTAGAATGGTGGTTACCAGGGGCTGGGGGGGAGGGGGAAATGGAAGTTAGTGTTTGATGGGTATGGAGATTTGGTCTGAGGTGAAGAAAATGTTCAGGAGAGAGATGAGTGGTGACGGTTACACAACAGTGTGAATATGCTTACTGCTAATGAACTTCAAAATGGTTAAAATGGTAAATTGCTATGTATGTTCTACCACAATAAAAAGTTACTTCCAGCAGCTGGCCTGTGTTTTCTGCACACAGTGTTGCTCAGAGATTCCACACGGGTCAGGGCATCATAAGAAAGAGCACATTGCTGCAAGTGGCCTCTTACCTCACCTCCCAGCAGGGAGCCACCTCTCTGCCAGTAGGGTGCTGTCCAAAATTCATCCTTGACTCAGCAGACAGAGGGACGTAGGGATCCCCGATATGCATTTCACTTACAAATCCATGTTTCATATACATCACAGAAAAGGGGGAGCATGGGGCTGTGGTCCCCAATGTACTGGAAAAGGGAGGCTGCCCAGAGGAAGCACTATTTGAAATGGGTTTTGAGGGATGAATAGGAGTCGGCCAGGCAAAGACCAAGGGGGAAGGGTTTCTGGCAGGAGAAACAGTCTGTGCACACTTGGAAGTGAGAGAGAGATGAACTGACAGTTGGGTCTGGTTGGTGCATGATGATAACAGACTCGGGTGGGAGGGAGGTGGGGACGGGACTGGCTCACACTAGGCCTTTTTGGGGTCCAGTGATAATTTTGTCCTGGGGGCACTTAGAGCAGGGGAGAGGCATTTTGGGAGGATCCTCTGGCTCCGGGCAGAGGATGTGTTATGGAGCGTAAACTATTGGCAGAGAGCCTTGAGGCATCAGCTGCATGGGCACTGCCCAGGAGAGGGTGGGTTTGCCCCTATGACCTGGGTGGGTACACAGGAGCCTCTGCTGTGCATGGGGGGGGTGTCCTTTGGGAGACTTTCTGTGGTCTGCGTTGGTGATCCTGGTTTCCTACTCTATCCCATTCCTATCACAGTGACTCTGAAAGGTGGACCTGTCTCTGAAAGAAATAGGACATTAAAATACACCAGACCCTGGGCATCTGTGGACTTGTACACTCTTTTGACTTGTCATGACCCTGAAGGTCCCCTTTTGGTTAACCACTTGCAGTTTCTGCCTGTTGGGGGTCCCGGATGTCAGCTCCTGAGGGCAGGAGGGGGCTTTCTTGCTCATGGCTGGCCCCTCACACAGTACGTGGCACATAGTACATGCTCAATAAATAGTTGATGAAAATATTTGGTTGGGGTCACAGGCCCCGTGAAGCCAGAGCCCCTCACTAGCCACAGACCTGGCCGTTTCATCTCAACATAGCTCTCTTGTTTTCACTGCAGAAAAGCTCAGGAAGTGATTTAAAGAAGGGAAAAAAGCTTGCTTTGAAATGCAAAAATAACAACCCTACAGAAGGGTACATACCTCTGCAAATTTGCTCTGAAATGTGTCAAAATACAAAAGAAGAAGATGGAATGACAGACTGAGAAGAGGATGGACAGACAGACAGTAGAGCAAATATAAGCACAGGAACGCGTCAAAGGTAGCATCAGCGGTGGGTACTTGGGTGTCTGCTGTAAATAATTCAACTTTTTGGTGTTTGGAAGTTTTTCACAAAGTGTCAGGAAAAAACAACCCTGGAATAAAAGGCCAACTGACTTTTGGAGCTGAGGAAAAGAATTAAATGGGAGTGGACAAAGAAAATGACAACAGAGGCTGGGAGGGCTTGGGGGGTGCCAAGTTTGGCGGCACCTCATGTTCACGCTGTGGACAAGCCGTGGTCCAAGGACATGGGGTTCATCCGAATGGCTTAGGGTGCTCTATCCAGGGAGGGGGAGACCTTCGTGAAAGGCCAGAGGGCAGCTGCCCACCCTGGATGAGGATTGGCACAAGAAGGGTGAGTTCCAAATGGTGACGGAGGCTGAATTAGGGGAGGAAAGAGTGGAGCCCCGCTGAGGCAGTGTCCTCACGGTTCAGAACATAAGCCACGCACAAGTTCAGGGTTTACGAGAAAGCAAAGCAAGACTGGGTCTGGGTTAGCCTGGGTGCTTGGCCCCAGCTGTGTGACCTTGGACAAGTCTGTGCATCCCTGAGCTGGGGGGTTTTCTGTCTATTAAAATGAGGACAGAGTGTAGCGTGCACCTCAGAGGCTCATGGGGATTGCGTGGGATGAGGCCAGGGCAGTGGCCAGGGGCCATCACCCTGAGCATTCAGTTTGGACCTGAGCTGCTCACCAAGACGACTTCCATCCAAACTTAGTGGCCTGATCCTTTCTCCCTTCCCTGGAGACCGGCTGTGCTAAGTCCCTGGAGGAAGGAAAGTCGGCCTCATCAGGGAGGGTGCTTTCAGCCGATGGCCAAGGGGCTGAACTCAGCCTCAGCAGCCAGCAGCTTGTGTCCATGTTTGCGATCAGGCTGAGTAAACTAAATACCCCACCTGCAGCCTTTGGGATACGAACTCCGATCCAAGCTTAGTCCTCCTGAGCTGGGGGCTCGCTGCACATCTCAGGTGTTGCAGGAGGATGGTGAGCTCTGGGGGCATCGCCCAGGGAGGCGGCCTTGCCTTCCCTGATCCAGAATAAGTCAAGGCCAAAGTGCTTCTTTTAAAAAATAATTTATTCCACACATCTGGTAGGTTCCTCCGCCCACCATTCCTGGGTAGCAGCTAGTCATCGACTGGTCTTTCCCTCCAGAACCAAGGGGGCCTCTTGGGAAAACTTACTCGGTTCCCAAAGCAGCATGGATTTCCCCCCACTGGCCTTGGGATGGGACAACGAATAATTCATCTTTCTCCCACCCCGCACTGCCCCCATGCCACCTTCACTTGCCAGGGCTGTCATTGGCTGATGGACAGAATTTTTTCAGACTTCCTCAAGCATCTGGCTTGTGGGGGCTTCCTCGGGCAACCTTGATGGCCTCTTCATTGTCCTCCAAATTGGCCAGGAGTAATGCTGGGTGTTCTCAGACAAAGTGCCCATCACCACAGCAGGGGGCGGCCCACTCCCCCCATCGCTGGCACCTGGAGACCGATGGACAGGGCCAGGATGGCAGGCCCTGATGCTGTGCAGCCTTCAGAGCCGGGTGCTGGTGGGCGTGTCGAAAAGGCCTCCCTGAGCACATCAGTGTGGTCCTTGTGGTCGGTCCTTGGAAACCAACAGCTCTGCCCCTTGGGGCCAGATCCCACCATGGACATCAAGGCAACAGGTGAAAAAGTGGCAGTGACTTGAAGGGGCCCTCTAAGGGGTAGTGGCAGTCACAGTGGTGATGCTCATCAGCAGGTTGGGCTGTGATTTTGGGGAGGGCTTTCTCTCCTCCTCTGTCTCCCAACAGGGCAGGAAGGAGTGTGCCAGGGAGGGTGGTCAATCCGGCGGTGGGGGAGGGGCTAGTCCTTATTGTCCTCGGAGGGAAGAGGCAGACGAGGGCTGTGACGTGCAGAAGAGATCTCCAAATGCCCTGGAACTTATGGCCAGATAATTCTGCTCATTTTGCTTTCCCGCTCTCAAAAAAGAGAATCTTTGCTGATGAGTGCTAAGCCTGCCAATGGGACATTCCTAGTGATTCACTAGGGGCCATATGGGGAACAAAATACCATTTTATTCCCCTTATAAAAAATCATTTGTACCCCTTCCTGGGTGACTTGACACTCTCCAGATAGCATCATTGCAAAAATGGGTTTCTTTCTTTTCCTTGTCTTGTCTCTATATTTCTTTCCTTGGCCTCTTTATTCTGCTGACATATAGATGATACTTACATCAAGAGCTGGTCTCAGAGTAAAAAAATAAAAGTTTCCATGATCTGATATAAAACGAGCCTAAAAGGACACCCAGGTCCTATACGCTAGGCCCCCAAAAGGAAAAGGAAACTGGGGCGTTTGGGTTCAATTCGATTCAGTGATGCAGCAAAAACATTGTCTGAAGAGATCAAACAAAACAAACTTTCCGACAATGGAGAAGAGGCTCTTTCTGCCTAGAGGGGGGCATGCCTGAGCTGTTCATTGAGACAGGAGTGAGGTGGCAGCCAGCAGGTCTGCAAAAATGCCCAGGAATTTTTTTTTTTTTTTTGAAAGCAAACCCCTAAGGTCCTGGTGAGGTCTTGCGGTCGGCAGGTCAGTGTGGCTTCTCTTGCCCGTGGTCCTGCAAGTGGCTGGGTGGGCAGGAGTCAGGTGGAGGCCGGGCTGTCCATGGTAGACAGGAGATGAGTGACTTCGGCCCGCTCGGCCGGGCTGATGTGCTGGCTCATGTATATCATGCAGTCCAGTGCCACTTCCGGGTTTTCCTGGATCAGGCTGCAGGGGACAGCAGAGAAGGGTTGGGGTCCCTGCTGCTACATAGTTCAGTGGGCCTTAGAGCAGCCCCAAGAATCCCTGTGGGCAGGGCCATGTCACGTTCCTGGGTGGGCAACCTGGAACTCCTGAATCTCTTCCTGCTATGGTCACCATGAGGGTGACGGTGCCTTGGGGCAGGAGAGAATATGGCCTGGGGATCAGAGCACCTCAAGGAACAACAGTGGACCCGACTCGTCACTAGCTGTGTGACCCGAGACATAGCACTTCCCTAAACTTCAGCTTCATGCCTTGAAGGGGGTCCCACATGATCTACCTTCCTCCCAGGGGCCCCCATGGGAATGCGGGGAGCAAATCCTCCAGAAACGCAGATACCAAATTGGGAGCCAGCAGCCTAAGGTCTGTTAGTTCAAATACGGGTTCTCGAAGCAAACACGCCCTAGCGTGTTCATGATTCTAACAAGGATCATGAACTGAAATCATTGCACACCCTCCATAGAGCATCCCCAGGGCTCTGCACCGGCAGGCAGGCAGGTGGGCGGGCGGACGGGGCGGCCACTCACCCTCGGATGGTCTTGAGGACAGAGTCTCGCTTCAGGTACTTGATGTTCTCGCCGATGGCGGAGCGCAGGCCATCCCCCACCTGCCAGTGCTGCTCCAGCCACTGCACTACCATCTGGTTGTTGTCCCACAGGTAGGCCTGGGGAGGAGGCACAGGCTGCCTCAGAGAGGGACCCCGTGGCTGGACAGGCCCACCCTCAGCCCCCCAGGGCACCCACCAACCTGCCCGCCAGCCCTGTCTCTGGCCCAGGCCCACCTTGACGGCTCCCTCTGCCTCCACGAACCAGCGGCGCAGCATGGACTGGATGTGCACGTGGCTCAGCTCGCTGCTGACCTGCAGGATCTCCTGCTTGACCTGGGCCTCCAGCAGGAGGCGGCGCAGGCGCCAGTACAGGAAAGTGCGCGAAGTCTTCCACTCTAGGATGTCCTGCGGACAAGCCCCGGGCCTGAGTCTCCGGAAAGGGCGGGTGGAGAGGCAGGACGCTGCCCGGGGCTGGGCCCTGCGATCATTCCCATTTTACAGGCCAGGAAGCTGAGGCCTGGGGAGGTGAAGGCACCTGCCGGGGCAGTTGCAGAGCCAGGACTTCGCCAGGACTCTAGACTGGCTTCCCAGAGGCATGAGGGCTCAGGCCGGCTGGGAAAGAGCACGGGACACAAGGGGAGTAGGCGATGGTGGAGTGTCCTCATGGGGGTGGGACGACCGGACGGGGGTTGGGATGGTCAGTGGTGGGTGAACACAGGGCAGGAACAGCGGTTCCCAAATCTAGCCTGGCGGTTAGAGCTGCATACAGAGGTCAGACTGGTGGTTTCCCAAGCCTTGCTGCCTATGGGACTCTCTTGGGGATTTGAAAAACAATACTCATGTCTGGCTCCCACTCCAGACATTCTGATTTCACTGGCCTGGAGAGCCACTGGGACACTGGGATTTTTTTTTTAAAGCACCCCAGGTGATTCTAACACACAGCATTCGACCCCAAACCTCTTCCACTTGTTGGAAACCAGGTGACTTGAGGATGGGTCATTCACACCTAGCCACAAGCTCTTACAGAAATGACACCCTTCTCCAGCATCCTGCCGGGCGTATCATGGAGGTCGGCGAACTGCACTGCCACCTGGTGGTAGATGGGCAGCAGCAGGTCCTCCCGGGCCTTCAGCCGGCCCTCCAGGTCCTTGCGGTCCTTGTCGGAGAGCTCGGACGTTCCTGTGGGCAAGGGCACAAACCAGGGTTTGCAGGATGGGCCTGGCCCCAGGAGGGCTCTGGGTTTTAACTCTGAGAGCACCCCCAACTCAAGCTGCTCAGGAGGTGTCAGAAATACACGCACAATGCAAGGTGGCATTCAACATGCGACTTTACATCTGCCTCTTCCATCAGACCCACTGTGCTTGCATGATACCGTCAGTTACAATGTTTAGTCCATATTGTAAAAGGCAAGAAGGGAACATTATAAACAACTCTATGACAATTAGGCAATTTTGATTAAATAGACAAATTCCTTAAAATACACAAACTACCAAAGCTCACCCAAGAGGAAACAGATAACCTGCCTAGTCCTCTATATAATCACGAAGATGAATTTGTAGGAAGAAACCTCCTATCAGGGATTTAAAGATATAATGATAATTCAAACTCAGAAAATAGGAGGGAACACATTTCCCAACTCATTCTAGGAGGTCCGCATCAGTGATACCAGACCAAAGAAATCACACACACACACACACACACACACACACACACACACACACACACACACACACAGAGAAATAAACCTCATGTACAGCACAGTTATAAAAACATTGCCACCTAATATGCACTTTTAAAGAGAATTACAACTAAGGCTACAAGTGAAACAAAGCT